CAAACTAAGAAAAGCCACTTGATGACTCGCACAGTATCTGTCTCTCTTTGCCTGTGTAGACAGTTTCCAGGAAAAAAAAAAAAAAGATTCTATAAGCAAATGCTGGTGATGAATTAAGTGGAAAATTTTTTTTTTTTTTTGGTTTGTTTTTGTTTATTGCAGTAACATTGGTTTATAACATTGTAAAAATTTCAGGTGTACATCATTGTACTTCTATTTCTGCATGGACTACATCATGTTCACCACCAAAATACTAATTACAACCCATCACAGTCACATCGGACATCAGTGGGGCCTTTTAATGGTTTATCTGTATTAAAGAAAGTCATTTTCTTTGTAAGCCCTGGATTTCATAAATTTTTCTCCAGCTAAGTTATTCTTCAGCTTATCCAATCATGCATTGCCACATCTCATTAGTATATAAGTGAGGCCTAGGGTCAGAGAGGAATATCTGTGCTTACAGGAGATGGAAATCACACAGCCTCAGAGCCTCTGAGCTCAAACATGGCCCTCTTCCCTTCCCCCAGAAGGGCAAAATGCAGGACTTGACAGCTTTCAAGGTAGAGGAGGGGAGGAGAAGTGCCTTCTGCAGGTTCAGTAGCCTGCACTGCTCCTCATTGATGGAGGGCTCCGTAATCAGTAAAGGGGTGAGCATCAGTGTGTAGCTGAATAGACCTGATAGTGACCCTGACTGCCCTAGCAGAGACCAGCCCATTTTGAATTAACTGCCTGGATAAATCAAGCTGCACCTTCAGTGAAGGATGAGGAGGGAGGGACTGGACAGAGAGGAAGTGGCCTAACCCACCTGGTTAGGCCACCTGGACCTTTCCAAAGGTACTAACACGTCAAGAAACTGCTGAAACAACATGGAGGTAAGAGTAAAGACAGGAGGGTGAAGTAGAGCTGTAGGGAGTAGGAGGGAGAACGGGAGAAACAAGAGGAAGAGGGAGAGAAAAAATGGGAAAGGAAAGGAGAGTCATGGGCTTATTTTTAATTATCAATAACTAATATAGTGCCTACTATTTCCCAGGTACTGTTCTAAGCACTTTAAAAATACTCACTTAATCCCCATTATTAGCCTCATTTTACAGAAGAAGGAAGCTAAGCATGGAAAGAGTCAATGACCTAAGAGCATATGGCCAGTGTGTGGCAGGGCCAAGACTAGAACCCAGGCAGCCTTGCATCAGTCCATGCACTTAACCAACCCCTCATCAGGAAAGTCTTAGACCCTCCTGTAATGTGAGTATCTGGCTCAAGGGTGTTAACACCCCATGAAACAGCCCTAAAAATACTCAATAGTTAGTTAAGGAATGTTTATAGCTCTTCAACAATTATTTATTCTTAAAACATCAGGTATTTCCCTGTGAATGAATATAAAGCAGGGAAAAGAGTAAAGGGGATGGTTTTCCTTTGGGCTATAAAAGAAAAACAGTAGCCCACGGATCAATTAAAAGCAAAGTAACAGCCGAAATCTGGCCAATATGCCCAAGGGTTTCTGTATGGCAGTGTTATACTCTCACTATGTCAGTAGGGGCCGGGAGGAACAAGAAGTTTGGGCAGGATATTAATAGAAAACCAGCTTTGGGTACAAATGTTGTTATTAACCATGAAGGCTGGTCAGATGTGCCACTAGGATAATTGGCTTGGGATGAATTCAGGAACCAGCAGCCACATGAACTCTGATCCTTCCTGACTCTCAGGTCTTGTTTTCCAGTCTGGTTCATCCCACCAGTCTCCTTTTTCATTATAGGGAATTCTGTCTCAGAGCTCCTTCCTCTCTCTCTCTGCAATTTAACTTCTCTTAGCACTCCTCCCCACCCGCCCACCCCCCAGTTCTCTGGACAGTCCATCCCAATCATGGATGTGGTTTGATTTATTTTTCTCTTAAGAGGCTACTCAGCTCCACGTAGGCCCACCTTAACAGATTCTCAGCTCCAGCCACTACAAACTCCCTGCCATGAAGAGTGTGAATCAGGTCGCTGGGAAAATTGAGGTGGTCACATCAGTTCTCTCCTTGAAGAACTTCCATACAAGTGTACCATGCTCTCAGTGCAGAACGGTTTAGGGGGCAGGAATGGCCTGGGCAAAGCTCATGGTGTCATCCACCAAGCTAGATGCCAAAGAAAGCAAGCCCAAGACAACACGAATTTTCTGAGGTCCCATTCAATTCTAACCATGGGTTTTTCTCTGACTCTGCTTTTGAAAATCCTCCCCCTGCCCCTCAGCCCCAAGGAGTTCTTCCTGCCTCTGTTCCCTAGCTGAGTGCCCTTTGGGTTAGGGTGTTCTTTGTGTCCTGATGGCCTGCCTTACGTCACTCTCATCCTCCTTGAGTCATGGATGATATTTCTCTGTGCTTCAAAAGCACAGTAGAAAAACTCCTTTGATACACCCTGATTATATGTCATGAAGTTGTCTTTGAAGACCTGTCACAAATACAGAAAAGTGCCCTTATATAGATAAACAATTCAGCTTCAGTTATCAGCTGCTGTCAGCTTTCTGGGAGCATTATAAAGTCTATCTACAATAAATAGCATGTTTGGAGCTAGGTTGCTTTATTATGGAGAAAGAAATGCAGCTGTGGAAATTAGCAAAGGTCTAATCCAAGATGGGCAGAGTCTCAAGAGAGCCTCCCTTATTTTAGTCGGGACCACTATCTTCCTCTGAGGCTGGCAAGGGCAAGCAGGCATGGTTCTCCCTGTGTTCTCTCTCAGAATTTCTTCCCCTCCAACTCTGCTGCCCAGTCTGTTGTGCTGACTTGTCTGCAAAAGGCAGCAGAAGAAGCACGGGGGGCTCCTTCGGTATACAGACGAAGAGGCCATGGAAGGGATTAGGCCTGGAGTCCTTCCAGAGCAGCTACAGTGTAGGGAGCCGTAGGGTGAGCCAAGTGGTCTTCTGCTATTTCATGGGCATATGTCCCACCTTCTAATCAGACTACGAGTTTCCCCAGAGCAGGGCCATTTCAGCACCCAGAAAAGACTGGCTGTTTAAAAAGAAAACTGGCTGCCCTGCACACCCACCCTCTCTGAAACCTGTGTTGTGACGAGACACTAAGAATTATTGAAATATCTGTATGGTTTTCTGTTGCTTGCTCCACTTTGTTGTGAGGCAGAAAGGGCACAAGAAAGCATATCACTGGCTGGCCTGAGCATTCCTACCTGGGTTGAGGAGAATCCGTTGCTCTTGTGCTTGGAGAGAAAGACCACAATGGTTGCTATAAATCCAATAATGCTACAAAAAAGCCTCACTTGCAACTAATGTTTGAGTAGTAAGTATTATCAGGGGCTGCTACAGAGCCAAATAAACTTTTGATAGTGTCCTCACAGATCACTTGGCTGCTACCAAGAGTTCCCAGAAACTGGAAACAAGAACATGCTGCTGTCTGCACTGAGAATTTTTAAAAATAGTTCTATTTATATTGTCTTATAATGAAAAGGGAATGTCTTGCATTTCCTTGGAGTCATTGCACATGTCCCCTTAATACCCAATGAGGCAAATGGGATGACAATTGGCACATTATGCTCCAGGGTAATCAGATGAAAACTCAGTCCCTCTAAAGAATGCCCAGTCTATCTGCTCTAGTCCATGGGCCCAGCTCCTATGGCACATGGCTATCCTGAGTAGGGCCAAAGAGCAGTGCTGCCAAAAGCAAACAATGGCTTCCTCCTGTCACAGGGGGGAAGTAAGCTAGTGAGTATAATTTTTTTAAATGTAAACTTTATCCCCATAAATTTTACTTAAATATTGCTTATTACCACTTTCCACTGGCCAGGACTCAGAATCAACTAAACAAATGGCCAAGTAGCACCAAATATTTGCAGGAAAAGGCTGTCTGGTTGCAGCAAATCAAGCCACCTTGCTGGATCAAGCAGAAAAAGGCAACTGTGGTATATGAATATAGGGGTGTCTCATGGACCACGTGGGCAGAGAGGAGCTGGGCCCCAGAGACAGTCTGACACTATCTGAGCCTCTTCCTATGCATCTTCTTTCTTCTTTCTCTCTTTTTAACTGGCTTGTTTTGCTACTTAGTCCACATAGTAGAAGATGGTAGACCATATCTCCCACGGTTACACGTTAACTCCTCAGCAAATAAATAAACTGCCTCTCAATCACAGTCTCAAATACCCAGGTGAGAAAACCTGATAGGCACAGTTTAAGGCAGGGTCCCACCCCTAGTCCAATACACTATATCCAGAGCAATGAGGACACACAATACAAAATGGCCACAAGAGGTCCATCCTGTAACCTGGGCAGGAGGGCAAGGCAGTTCCAAGAGAGGGAGGTGGTGGAGAGAAGCTACCGCCTGAGAGAAAGAACGTGTCAGTTCTCCAGCATTCCACAAAAAGCTCCATGGAGCCAAGCCAAACACCACTGAAATCCAGTTGGGAAATACCCAGGAGTTTTAACATGTCCTCTAGAAACACTGTAAGCACTCTTCTTAGACAACATAGGAAAAGAGGGAAACCTTTCTACAACATCTCATTTAATCCTACAAGACAATGTAACAGGCTTTGTTTTGCAAATGAGAATATTGAAGCTCAGAGAAGTTAAGGAACCAGCCTAAGGTCACCTGGCTAATAAATGGTAGAGCAAAATTCAAACTCATGTGGGACTCTTAAACCCCATTCATGCTCCAGCCATTCTCCCGCGTTGCCTCCCAAATGAACTCTGCCCAGAGATAAGTCCCTCTAGATTGGAGACAAGCATTCACCCAGAAGCTGGCTATCATTTTCTGTGCCTGAGACTTCTCTGGGCCCTCAGTTTACAAAGTACTGATGCGGCCAGTCCTGTGAGGACTCTACCTTAGCACCAAGACCCCCAGCATCCCAGTGTCGGAAGGGCCCAGCAGGTACCTGACCCAGCTGCTCCAGCTCTAATACCCAGGCCACCCAACAGGTGAAACATTTCAGCCCTGAGCTACTCAGAGGCCATATACTATTCAAATGCTACCAATGCCATTTTCCTGTTTGCATTTTGTTTTTGTTTTTGTTTTGTTTTTACAGTTCGTTGCTCATCCTAACTGTCAGCAGCAATTGCTTACCATGTGGTATGAAAACCTGTCAGGCTTACGTCAACAGTCTATCGCTGTGAAATTCCTGGCTGTCTTTGGAGTCTCCCTAGGCCTCCCTTTTCTCGCCATAGCCTATTGGATTGCTCCGTGCAGCAAGGTACAGACTGCTGAAGGTGCATGTCGTTCGCAGTTCTTTCTTGTCTCTTCTTAGCATGACCTGAAGTCCATTTGCTCAAATCAATAGCTGATCACCTCCCACATTTAAAGAAAATGGATGTGAGATACCTAGCAAAAGTAGAAAATCACAGACCTGCTTTTTTTAAACCATTTTTTAAAGAGAGAGGAATGATAAAGCGGGAAATTTTAAATATGTGAGGCATAATCTGATCAATAACAGAATAGAGAGGGAATAAAGGCACTTTTCCTCTCTGATTATGCCGTGTCCTAAATATGTCCTCCAAACTCATAGTAATAATCATGATAATAATGGTAATAGGAATAGCCAACATTTATTGAGTACTTTCTTTTTGCTAAGCCCTTTTCATGGAATATCTCATTTCACTCCCTCAATTACGTTATGATGCATATGCTTTATGAAGTAGGTTTAGAAAAGAAATAACTAGTAGGCTGAGAGTCAAATACAGCTCATGCAGGGGCACTGCAGACCCATCTCAACAGCTTCCCAGTTTCCCTGGCTTCCTTGATTGGGTTCTGGCCCACATAGGCAGCTAATTAGGTCACAAGAAGGAAAAGACAAAGGAAAGAGAAGCAGAGCTCAAAAGGTGCAGAGCTGGGTTCTTTTCTCACGGGGAAGAGGGAGTGTCTGTTGCCCACTGGTAATAGAAGGAGTGGAACCTGCAGGTGCCAAGCTGCCATGCTTCCCGCTCCATCATCCCTACAGCCCAGCATCTGATCCAAAGCCACAGAAAGCACCAGCAGTCACTCCAGCTTCAGACAAGAGTTAGAGCCTATAAAAACCAACCATGCAGAAATTTTGAAATATGTTTCATAAGAAAGTCGTTAAAGGTTCCAAAGCTGCACTTACCTAGTAATATATTTAAAAAGGAATTAAGCTTAGGTAATCAACATCCAGGAGAAGAAATATGACTAAAGGGAGATTAGTTCCACAGGGAATTTGAGCAGCTAATGCAGTTAATAAAAGTGTCCTCAGTGAATGGAACCTCTTGTCAACTGCACTAAGAGGGAACTCATGCTGGGATGATGGGCTCAAGACTTTAGGGCTGCTGAAGAGGCCACCTAACTAGGCAGGCAATGAACTGACTGCTTTAGAGTAGGAGAGGTGTCACAGAGAGGTTAGGACTCCAACTCCTTCTTCTTGAGAATAGTATTAAAAACAAAAGTCCTCATACTGAATATCTGTGGTGCTCAACCTTATATCTACCGAGGATTTTATTTCTATGGCAGTCTACCATGACGTGGATTTATAAATCATAATTCCCCAAATGATACAGATGTAGGTGAAGGAAATTTTTCTGTCCTTCATTATGAGCTGAAAAAGGCACAGTGAGTGAAAAAAAACTAACCAGATTTAAAGGTGGATTTGAGCTGGTCATTAGTTTTCAGCACATGTTTTCATACTGGAATTATCTAGTCTATACTGCAAGTTAGATCATTGCCTTTACCCAGAGCCTAGATGGATAGGGATGCTTGCCTCCACATTCTCTGAGCCCCAAACTAATTCTAGGACATTCAGTCATTAAAGTAACAGCCACTTGGTTGAGAAAACACTGCCAACGTCCTCACTTTCACTGTAAAACTGAATGTGACAGCTTCCAGGAAACTGGGACTAGCCAATACCAGCAAATTGGTTTGCCTCTGCCTGGCTGGGGAAATAGTCAGAAAGAGATGATATCCCAGTTGCTGACAATTTTTTAGATTTTCCAGATTTTTTAGATTTTTCAGTAGGTCTGAGAAGAAGAATCTTGCCAATATCATGCAGATATGATGCAAAAAAGACAGTGTGTGTGGGAGAGGGAGGGAATTCTGGACTTCCCTGGGGACAAGTAAATCCAGGAGGTTGATGCCACCATGGAACATAGGGGTCAGACCTACAGCAATCTTCTGGAACATTGTAGAAGAAATGATTGCAAGAAAGTTTGGGCCCATGGCAGTTTGGGCCCATGGCTGGGGCTTCCTCTTCTCTGTTCAGATATATGTCTGATTGAGATCTGGTGCTCGTGGAGTTTCCAGAAGACTAATAAAACACAGCACTCAAGATAATCATTAGCTGGTTATTAAGCCACTTGTGGTTTCTGTGTACTTTCTGGGCTCCAGATCTGAGCTCAATGAAGTAGAAGGTGTGTCCACAGCTGAGTGACAAGTCATAGTCTATGGCATGAGATAATTTTTGGTGGCAACACTCATTCCAAGGAAAGATTCCTTTATTAAAGAGCTTGTTAAACTTGCTCTAAGTCAGCCAAAGGACATATGAAACAGTCAAGATATTTTTAGTCTTTCCTTTCACCATTTAGAAAGAAATCTTTTCAAGTTTGACAGAGATATTATATTACTGGCGATTACAGAGGTGTCACATCTTCCATGTGAAGAAACCAGCTCTCTCTAAAGGCTCCTGATGCCCAGAAAACAATGTCCTCCAAGACGAGGGGCACAGTGGAGAAATCTGTGAATGTGCCAGTATTCCTCCTACCAAGGGGTCACTGCCTTTATACGTGTCTAGTAATTCCATGAAAAAGCCAGTGTCATTCCAGCAATTCCATGTTCTAATAACCTTATTACACCTCCCTCGAAGAAATTAGACCTTGATATTCTTTTATAAATGTATTCATAAAATGTCACTGCTAAACCTCATCAAACAGCTAATGTCCATCAATGTCCAGAAAATGTTGATATTTCTGTACTCAACCTAACAGTGCATTTACTTCCTAATAGTTGTTGTCCTAATTTAGAGACTATTAGGGACACTAAAATTACTTAATTAGCCTGTCAAAATCACCTCATCATTTCTTTCCTATTGAATTCCTAAGGCTGTCAATTCTATTTTTACCAAGTTTCTGAAGGTCCCTAACAAAGACAGTTAAATAAGGAGATTATAAGGTTAAGGGTGTCAAAGGAAGTTCAACTTACTAATATGGCAGCTAAAGAGGGAACCAAGTCACAGATGTGTACACGTGGTGATAACTTGCAGGTCTGGAGTATGAGACAGGTTTGTCAGGATCAATAAAGAGAACAGTGATTTTTTATTTTATCATTTCTCATTGTAACCATCAACATGGGTGAGGTCAGGCAGCCCACTGAGAGGCCGGTGAGTTCTTATCTGCATGGATGCTCTCAGGTAGAGCTTTTCCTAGAGAGTTCTTTATCCTCTCAACAAGGGCTCCAATGCCAAAGGGCCTTTATGACTGATTAGGCTGTTTTCTATCTTTTGCTATTCCATTCTGATTAATAATTTAGGTTGTTTGCCTGTTAAAATCCGGGAGCCGAAAGAGTAACAGTCATCCTCAAGGGCTTATGGTATCTCTGTAGCAGGAGGACTGGGGTAGAAGTCAGCATCATGAAAGTATGGGGAAACCACACAAGTTCTAATTACAAAAGTGTGAAGGGGAAGCTGACTTCCTCCATTACCTGATAACCTTTGCTGTTCAATTATCCTTATAAATTAGTCCCTGGACTCAGGCAGGCAGAGCTGTAAACAACTTTATACTCCTACCTGATGTCTTTGTAGTATGCAATCTATCAGTCCTTACTGCAACATAACTCTCATTTGCAGAAATATCGAAGTGTTAGTCTTTGCCCCCAGCCCCCTCAGCCCCATCCCAAACAAAAACATCTAGTGAGGAAGGCGTGAGGGACTCTGCAGCTTCTGAAGATCCCTGGTTTGCCTTGCCAAAGCTGAAATGGTTTGAAACAAGGTCCTCAAACCATGTGGTCCAGAGCCAACCAGGAGAGGATAGTTCTCCAAAAGCCTCTGTGTCCCTCTCATTTGTCTCTACCAGAGTGCTACACTAGATTAAAGAAAATCATGATGCAATTTTTGAAGCATTGTCACGGAGGGGAAGGGAAATTTGTGCCAAGAAATAGAGCATTTTTTGCTCTTTTATTACAAAAGCTTCTGCCCTCAAATCCAAAAGGAGAGTGCATCACCTATCACCCTGCTGGGATAAGATTTAAGAGTGCCAGAAGCCTGGTCACTTGCATACTTAGCCAAGCCTGAACCCTGCAACATTCTCTCCCAATCTCTCCATCTATTTCCTACTACAGTGTTTAGCTGTGTCTCTCTCCACTAAAAAATCAGCAACTTTGCAGGGAAGGACCAAATCTTATAGTTTCTTTTATAACCATCATCTCCAGTGCCCAGCATCATCTTGCACATGGACAGTACCCCAAAAGGGCTCATGACGTAAATACATAAGGATTCTGTGTAGGTCTCCCTTTGTGAACCCTTGTGTATAAGCTTTTGAAGAGTCAGTCAAGTTTCTTTTAAGCTTCCCCTTAGGGAAATTGCCTGATGCCCTCCAGTGCCACATACTAAGTGCTTCCTATGTGCAAGGCAGTGTTCTGCTTTGCACATATTAAATAATTCATTCCTTACATCAACCCTATGTGGTACTATTTTATCCCCATTTTACAGATGAAGAAACTGAGACACAAAGGGATTAAGTATCTTGCCCAAAACTATGGAGCTGTGATTTAAACCTAGGGTCTCTGGCTCCAGAGACCTGACCTTAACCACTGCACATGTACACACACACACACACACGTACACACACACACCAGCCTCCCCCCCCCCCAACCCCGCCCAGTTACATCAGCAGCGTTACAACCTCCAGTGCTGAATGTAAACATCTTAGTGCTGACTAACTGACTTTGGAATGGACTTGACTCAGATCTTCAGAGTTAGCAGGACCTTTCTAGAAGGGAGGAGTCAAACGACCATATGACAAACTTTCCTTTTCTTTCCTTAGAAGCCCTACCTCTGAAATCCCACTATTACTTAGCACCTCTTCAGCCCCCAGGACAACGGGTGGATTCACAGGGTAATGTGAGGACACCCTGATTAGAGACACCTAGTGAACATTCCCCTCACCCCCAAGAAAGGAAGATTCCTGAGCCCTAGGTTAGATATTTTGAATAAGAATTTTGGAGGGAGCATTCTGAGGAATCTGCCGCTAATTTAACCAGGATCTCTCTAAAATTTGAGAACCATTCTAGCCATAAAGATGTTCATGTTTCTTTTTGGAATGCTTGATCCAAAGTTTGCCTCCATTCAGCTTTCCAACTTGTACACTGAGCCCTGGCTTGAGGCCATCGGCCCCTGGTGATGAGTGAGGGTGGCATTTGGTGAAGGAGACTCTGGCGGTACACACTGGGGAGCGACGCTGCAAACATTCTCTGCATGCTCTACTGCAGTTATGGCTACCTTGTGGGTATGTGGCTACCATGCCCCAGTTAGGTGCTTACACCTGTGGTTAGGGTTAAGAGCCTGGTGACTTGGAACACAGAGGTGTGTCAACCAGTAAAAACAGGTGCCCACCCCTGTGCTCTCATGAATGCAGTTTATTTGGAGCTAATTTAGCAGTGCTACTTAGTTGTTCTCACATTCATATATATATTTCCCAGAGTAAAAGAACAGTACCCAGGAAGTTTGGGGTGAGCCAGAGACTGAGCACTATATGACAATTTGACAATGCACGTGAATCCAAATAAGTTTTTTCCAGCACCAGTAGGGATTCCCAATGTCCGGACCTGAGGTGTAGTTTTTTAAAAAAGATAAAAACTATCTATGGCATTAGAACCATAATAAATCATGTTACACTAATAACTGGCATAATTAAAGTGGATGATTACCATGCTGAAACATATTAAAAGAACATTACCAAGCCATCTGATTTATAAATGTTATGTTGAACATAGTCATAACTAGGGAAACTTTACCTGGAGAAACCCCTGTAACTGATCTTCTGCTGAACCAATAATCTATCTCCTGGGTGACATTTCACTCTAGGACTCCTGAATGAGGCAGAATGTGAACATCAATTAACCAGTCACTGGCTATAACTGAATGTCTGCCTTGGAGAAGGAACTGAGCTTCATAAGTTTCTCCCTTTGTTCTTGTCTTATTAGTATATCTGGATGAGGGTAAGATTTGTTGCTTAGGTGAGGGTGATGGCAGTGACCTGGAAGAGACCTGGGTGAGCTCACTAGTACACGGTCAGCAAAGACTCACCATACAGCCTCCAGTGTAGTCCTCAATGATCCAAGTGACCTTTGGATGGCATGTCAGGGATAGAGAAGATATGCCCAATACTTGCTCCCTAACAGGGCATCTTTTGGATGTCAGGCTCACGTGGAACAACTGCACAAGGCCACAGGGAAAATCTCAGTAAGCCTTAGAGTAGTATCATAGAGGCTGTGATCTGTACACACATGGCAATAAAATGAAAATTTTTAAAAGCAGGAAAAAAGTCCTTTATGTCTGGAAACTAAATAACCTCTGAGTTAAAAAGGAAATCAAAAGGGAAATTATAAAATATTTATAACTAAATATCAGTGAAAATGCTACAGGTCAAAACTTATGGGAACATAGCTCAAGTAGGAAAACATATAACTTTAAATAAATTTACCAACATATAAGAAACATTGAAAACAAATCATCTAAGCAGTAAAACTCAAGAAAAAGGACAAAAGAGCAACAGAGCATATCCAAAGTGTATTTTTTAAAATTCTGAACTCTATTAAAACAGATTGTTTTTTTCCCAGATTCAAGGGGCATAAAATTCATATCCATGTGGCTGCAGGCAGCTGTGCAGTCAGACTGGAACATGGTGATATACCACTGTGTTCTACTCCTTTCTCTTACCACTCCCACTTAGTCTTCTAAATAGGAAAAATCAGTCAGTAGAAAGTAGATTTGGTCAAGCAGCATCTCACATAAAAGTGCTAGAGAAAATGTTGTCTGGATTCAGTTAGTAGCTTCTGTCCAAGACAGGATTCTCTGGGTCAACTTTCGGCAAAAGTGTTTTAACGAGAGACCTGCACCCACCTAGAGCTGTCAGTTTAACATGTCTTGTACATATTTTGATTCCAGCTAGGACGAACCCTGAGGAGTCCTTTCATGAAATTTGTAGCCCATGCAGTTTCTTTTACAATCTTCTTGGGATTGTTAGTTGTGAACGCATCTGACCGCTTCGAAGGTGTTAAAACCCTACCCAACGAAACCTTCACAGACTACCCAAAACAGATCTTCAGAGTGAAAACCACACAATTCTCCTGGACAGAAATGCTCATCATGAAGTGGGTCTTAGGTAAGCAAGTCACTCAATTACTCTCTCCTCCCCTAATCATAATAGGACATTATTCAACTCTGACTTCTGAAGTTCTTCCTTTCTTCTTGAGTCTACTCTTGGCAGACAGGATGGTGAGTGAATGCTCAACAAGGAAGTCAAAGTCAACTTCTCTATGTGCTGGTGTGTAAGATGCACAGACCTGTAATAGAAATCCCAATTTTGAAAGGGGACGTTTGGGGGAAACTTGTTACATACTTTCATTATACAAGTATTGAAAGTGATCATAAAGTGGCTTTGCACAGGAAATGGCTTTGCTCATTTAAATATAGTCTACTGACGGCCTTAGGATATCAAGTTCTGCTTCTGAAAAAGAGTATAAAATTGCATAGCTTATAAGATATTTTTTTGTTATTGAATACTGATATACAGTAGAATTGTGAAGATAAATATAAATCTAAAAAGTTAGAGGAGTAACATTTTCTCATTTTTTGTGTTATCAAATGCAACGAAGCTGTGAAATTCCTCTTTGTGGTGATATTTTGTGCTGCCAGGGTCTGCCACTGGAATTGCCAAAGAAAGTGTTCCCAATTTTCTCATTGAATAGCTAAGAAAGCCTATCTCTCTTTTGCCCAAATCATAAGCACTATCACTAGTAGGAATAAGCAAGATAAAATAAAACTGGCAATGGCTAAAATAATACATGACAAAATGTGTTATAGATTTTTCTAACACTGAAAACTGCAAAATTGATTGGTAAAAAAATCAGACTTGGCAGGAAAAAAACGAAAAATTCCAAAAGTTATAATAGTGATATTGTATATAACCGAAACTTGATCAATAAATTGTAAGATTTACATTAAATAGATTCGAATTTGATGGGAATGTTTTGAATAAAACAAAACTGAAGATAGAAAGATTGAAAAAATTTTACTATGCAGTATCAAGATATTATCAATTAATTAAACTGCTCTAACAGTATTCACCCCAGATTTGCTTTCTTGACAAAAGTTCAACATTGGTATAATTTTCATTTTGCTTAAGTTAGCAAACATTAAGTCAAAATGTATTCAGGGTCAAACAGTCTGTGCCATCAAACAAAATCACCAAAGAACAAATACTTTAAAAGATAGCCCAACACATGGCCTGTGCTAATTAAATAATACAGCCTAAGAGAGCCACAGAGTTGAACCACTGGAGAGTATCCTACTGATGCCTAAGGTGAGGACAACTGGGAATAGGTCTCTAAGCTGGATCTCTCAATAGGTAGAGGGAGATGAGGAGAAGAATGGTTTGATGCAAAGCACAGAGGCAGAAAAGCACACAATGTTCCTAGGGGCTTTCAACCAACCAGCAAGTCTGTGACCAAAGGCTCATTTAGTGGAGTCACTGGCATAAAGTTGGAAAGGGACATTAAAGCCTGCTGCAGAGTGAGTTCTGTAGTCTCACTTTCACAGTTCAGAGTCTATCCCAATTCTTTCTAGCACATCCCCCATGGTTTAACTAAACTAAGCATTTTAACACTAGGCACTTTGCAATGGACTGAATGTTTACGTCTCCCAAAGTTCATATGTTAAAACTCTAATCCCAATGTGATGGTGTGAGGAGGTGGGGCCTTCAGGAGGTGATTAGGTCATGAAAGCAGAGGCTTCATGAATGGGATTAGTGCCCTTATGAAAGAGACCCCAGAGAGCTCTCTGACCCTCTCTCTGCCGTGTAAGGATAGAAAAAGCAGTCTGCAACCTGGAAGAGCACACTCACCAGAACCCAGCCTTACTGGCACCCTGATCTCGGACTTCCAGCCTCCAGAACCATGAGAAATAAACTTCTGTTGTTTATAAGCCACTCAGAACAGCCCAAACTGACTAAGACACACTAAGAAAAAAAAAAAAGCTCACACGTTGGGCTTATGGATAAAACTTAAAGTATTTATGGCACCAATCACTCACCCATCCCATGTCCCCACCTGGACCGCAGGCAGAAGACTCAGGTGAGTGCAACCATACTTCCCCTTAAGTGGGTGTAGCTACCATATACTAATGGCTCCTAATGAACCCTGACTTCCTCCTGAGTTTCCTTGTATTTCTCTTCCTGGGTGTCAGACATTAGCCCAATAAGAGGGATGCATCTCCAGCTACAGGGTTCCCAACTTGTATAGCTTGGTCCCAGTTTCTGCCCCAAAAACAGAGCTGAGTTTTCAAGACAACTACATTGTCTTGTATTGTAGTATTGTAGGGGGAGGACTTATTTCTCATTGATCCACTTCCTGTTACATTTCAGACAGAAGAAAGATTCTGACTACTTTTTCTTACTTAGATAATTTTTTCACTTTTTACGGTGAATAATTTTAAGAATACGCAAAAATCAAGAGAAGAATATAATGAACTCCATGGACCAATCTCTCATCTTCAAAAATTAGCAAGTCCTGGCTAATCTTTGTTTCATTCATACCTCACCTACTTCCCTTCTCCCAACCCTGTAGTATTTTGAAGCAAATCCCAGGTATCATAATATTTCATCTATAAACATTTTTGTGTGTATCACTAAACGATAAGTTCTCTTTTTCTTTTTTGTAATCTTTTTTCTCCCTGTACTTCAAGTTCACTGATATTTTTTCTGCATTTTCTGTGATTTTAATCCCCAACCAGTAAATTTTTCCTTTCAGATATTGTATTTTTCAATCCTTGAAATTCCATTTGGTTCTCTTTTATGTATTTCATTTCCTTCCTCATGATGTTTGTATCTTCCCTCAAATCCTTGAATATACTGTGCATATTTATAGTAACTGTTATAGAGGCCTTGACTTCTAATTCCATCATCTCTGTCATTTCTTGGGTAGTTTCTATTGACTAATCATTCTCCTGATATGAATCACATTTTCCTGCATCTTGGTGTGTTAGTAATTTTTGATTGACTGATGGGCACTTTACATGATATGTTATTGAGCATCTGGATTTTGTTCCTTTAAAGGAACTGTTTCTTTAAAGAGTTTTTGGCTTTATTCTGATAGGCTGTTAAATTACTTGCAGATGAGTTTGGTCCTTTTTAAGCTTTCTTAGAGTAGATCTGGAGAAGCTTTACCATAGGGACTGTTCATCCTTGTACTATAGAGACACATATCTGGAGTCTCTACTAAATGCCCTGAGTAATCAACAAGGACTCTCAACTCTGGACGGTCAGAGCTCAAACATCTTTCCACTCTAGGTGAGCTCTGGAAACTGTTTAGCTTGCAGCTCTCCAGTTGTTGTTTGTGGAGTTTCACTCTATGCATTCCTGAATTCATATTCAGGAAACATTCAAAAGGACCCTGATGTAAATTTATGAACTTTTTTTGTTTGCTTGTTTTTGGTTTTGTTTTTTGGTTTTGTTTTGCATAGTACCCTTCTCTCTGGGACTCTGCCACACAACATCTAATCGCCTCAACCTTCCTGAACTCTAATCTCTCTCCAACTCAGAGGGACTGCTTCTCTGCTTCTGAGATCCCTCTCCATGCACTGCAGACTGGCATGTGCCACCAGAAAGAAAGACAGGGTGATCATACCTCACTTGTTTCCCTTTACTTAAGGATCACAGTCCTGTGCTGTTTCCAATGTCTGAATAATTTTTTTTTCTGTTTGTTACTCCATCATGGCTGGTAATAAAAATCAGGACTCTTTTTCTAAAACAGAACCATAAACATAAAAGAAAATTAATGATAATTAATTTCTTCATATATTCAAATATCTAGTCAGTATTCAAATTTCTTTGATTGCAGAGACACATTGAATAAATATCTGCATAGCTTGCTTTCTCTCTCCTGCAGGTCTCTGTTCAACTTTTACCTTATCAGGGTAGTGAAGCGGGTAAGAGCAAGCCCTCTTATCTCCCTTCTCTGAGAGGGTGAAATTTGAATAGAGACCTGAAGGAGAGAGAAAGCAAGCTATGCAGACATCTGGTAAAGAGCATTCCAGACAGAAGGATCAGATGTGTTAAAGGCCTGGATTCAGGAGCAAGCTGGACATGTGTGAGGAACAGCAAAGAAACTAATGTGGCTGGAGCATAGTGAACAAGGGGGAGTGAGCAGAGATGAGGTCAGAGGGAGAGGCAGAGTCAGATCATGCAAGGCCTTGTAGGCCAAGGTACAGAGTTTAGATTTTATTCTGAGTGTGACAGGAAACAAGTAGAGAGTTCTGAGCACAGAAGTGACATCATATGATTTAAGTTTCTAATGGATCGCTGGCTGCTGTGTAGAGAATAGATGATTCTAGAACAAGAGCCGAAGCAGGGAGACCAGTTGGGAGGCCACTGCAGTAATTCAGACAGGAAGTGGTTGGTTTTGAGAAGGTGGAGGATGGCGATTACATTTTGAAGGTAAACTTGATAATATTTACTGTTGGATTTTCTGTGGGGTGTGAGAGGAAGAGAGTAGTCGAGGAAAATTCCAAGTTGTTTAGCTCAAGTAATGGTAAAAATAGAGAGCCACTCACTAAGATAGGAAAGACCAAGGGAGGAGCAGTCTGGAGAGGGAGCAGAGATGGAAATCAAGAGTTCAGTTTGAGATATCTATTAGATATCCAAGTGGAAATGTCAAGTAGCAATTGGATATACATGTGCAAAGTTCAGAGATGCTGGGGCTGGAGACATAAATTTGGGCATTCCGTGTCTTTAAAGTAAATTATATGCAATCACCTCGACTGTGAATGTGGACAGACGAACTGAGGACCAGTATTTAAAGGATGGAAACAATATGGATAGAAAGATGAGAAGAGTCCAGCAGAGGAGACTGAGGTAAGAGGAGAGCCAAGAGAGTGGTGTCCCAGAAGCCAATCAAAGTAACTGTGTCAAGAACCAGGGAGTGGTCACTTCTGTCAAAAGCTGCTGCAAGATCAAGCAACATGAGGCCTGAGACCTGACCACTGAATCTGGAAGCAAAGTTCCTGAGTAGTAAGAGGGATGGGATCCAGCATGCAAGTGGAGGACCTGGCCTTAGCAGGAACATGGACACTTCACCCACTGTAACAGGAGGGAAGGTGGAGTTGAGG